TTCTTCTTGATTTCAACTATGATATCCTTAACACCCGTTTGTTCTCTAATCCACTCTGTTCTCTTCTTGTCTCTTAAGGTTACACCTACCATTTTTCTTTCCATTGCTCGCTGCGTCCTCCTCAAATTAAGCTGAACCCTCTTTGTAAGTCTTCAGGTTTCTGCTCTGTAGCTAAGTACCAGCTAGATACAGCGGTTATATGCCTTCCTCTTGAGGGATAGTGGCAATCTACCTGTCATAATTTTAGAGTGCTTGCCAATGTGCTCCACCCCAATCTTATTCTTCTAGTTACTTCAATCTCGTGGTTCGGCTCCGCGGTTATTACCTGGCCTAAGTAGACATAGTCTTTTACAACTTGAAGTGCACTATTACCTATCTTGAAGCACTGCTCTCTTCCGAGGTTGTTGTACATTACTTACCTTTCCTGCAGATTAATTTTAAGACCCACCTTTCTGTTTTCCTTGTCTAACTCCGTAATCGTGAGTTGCAATTCTTGTCCTGAGTTACTGATTAATGCAATGACATCGGCGAAGCCAGGTTACTAAGGCACTCTCCATTAACTCTTATCCCTAACTGTTCCCGCACTAGGCCTCTGAAAACCACCTGTAAGCACGCGGTAAACAGCATTGGGGAGATTGTGTCCCTGAGACATAGTGTCAGGTTTTGGCCCAGGACCGCTAGCCAAGAACCAATCATGCCACGAGTGCACACACACACACACACACACAAAATATATTTACATGGAAAAAGCAACTATTAATGGAGCATCTCTAAACATAGTCTGTCACATGCAGTTCTATCCCAAATCTCTCTCTAAATTAGAAGTCTTTCGCAGTTTTTTGCTTGAGCTTAGACTCCGATCATTCAGGGTGACTTGCCGTCTGTCCTGTTGGCGTCTTCAACGTGAGTTGGCCCACGCCATCTCACCAAATATTCAGGTCAAACTGTTTATTTGGGCGAACCTGTGCCCGCTAAACGGAAAGTCGGGTTATGGTAGCACACTTGCACTGTTAGCGGCGCACGCAGCGTCAGACGTCGTTCACCTAACAAGTGTCGAAGCGAGTCAGCATTTATAAACTTCCCATCGAATGTTCTAGCGTTATCGCTAGCGGTGACGTAGGTTCCAAAATAATTTGTACAGTCTGCGGAGTGGGCGTGATCTTGTCGAATTGATCTACTAGAGTCCTGAAGCTTCTGGAAAACTGCAGGTGCGGTTTGCGCTGAGAACTGTGTAGTGTACTGGGGCGATAACAAAACTTGAGAAAAGCAACGTGGCAATATGGGCGACGCTCCTGAAGCTCACTATCCAGTACACGGTCGCTTTAACATTGCCCGTGCATGGGGGTGGTAAGTTTCTAGGCTACTGTAGATTTCTAAGTTTTCGAGCAGCTCTGCACATTGCAGTGACGCATTGTATCGGTCATCTCCGAACGCTCAAAACATATACTATTCCAGGTGATCTTTCGTACATTTGCCTATACTTTTTTTTACAAGTTCCGAAAACTGACTGCGAATATACATATAATTCGCAATGACCATGAAGGTAACATCATGTGATACCACATTACCGAGCGTTTGCCTTGGAACGAGCGTAACAAGTTATGCAAAAAAGCACTTGCCGTCATGTGTAGAAGAACAATTTGTGTACCTTATTTTGCAGCTGCCCGTTTGCTTCAAAAGTATTCATGGGGCTGCAGTCTGTCCCTGCAAAGCTTGCTTCACTACACACACGAATTATCCTTTGTCTATTTCGATATCTCACTTCTGTAGAAATGGTAGAGTGCTCATGTTGTCCCTGAAAAAACTCCCTAAACTCATATGGGGCAAAAGTTATCAAGAAAATAATTGCCATGTACCATTATGATTAGAGAAGAAGTATGGCAATTTCACAGACTGTTTTCAATTAATTTTTCAGTCAAGTTACTGTGCAAGTGTACATAAAACCATGCTGACTCAGAGGTGAACTTTCGTTTCTACAAAACTAGCAAAAAACAAGAATTGGCATTGTGATTGACAGTTTTCTGTTTTACAAATAGGCCGAAAATTCAGAGGCTTCCATAAAAATTGCACAAACTTCAGACATAATGGCACTACTTCCACTTTTCAAAACCATGGTAAACTAACTTTTATAGAGCTTAAACGTACTTAGGGGTGGTGACAGCCATTTACCGTTGTTCTAATTGTTTTAGCTGATGGTAAACATTCTTCGACAGAAAAAAAGTGAGACGTAAGTGTTTGCCCACCCTCCCATCAATTTTTCAATCTTTCATTTGTATATGTGTACATAGAAACGCACATATGAACACAGTCAAAGTGTGGTCAACCCCACCCCCTCCCCTGCCAAAAATTTGTGTTTAATGCAGCGACTGCAAATGGAACTCGATGCGCATATTTACTTGAAATGTAATGAAAAAGTATGAAAGGCATTGGAGGTTCTTTAAAGGGATACTGAACGAAATTTTTCCACCAACATTTTCAGCCAAATTGATAGAATGGATACTGCAATCGATATAGACAACCGTTATTCCAAGCATAAATTACAGGTAAATAATGAATTTCATGTGTTTTTCACAAAGTGTCCTGTCTAGCGGCAGCGCCGCCAACTAGAGGATGTGATGTTGGGTGACGTCTAACTCACCAGAAACTGGCAAACCAACAATACCATCTATCACCCGCGTCTCTCGACTCACTCATCTTCCACTTCGTTTCCCAGAACCGGTATGAAAGAAACATGAGTGAACAATGCTTCCTGCTGGGGCTAAGCACCAGCACTTTGTGGAAGGGAAAGAGTAGAGTGAAAGGACAGCTGGAGAAAAGGAAGAGAAGGACAAGAACACCTGCATCCTGCATGCGCCTCGGTGAGTGTGGTGACGTCACTGCTCATGCTCGTGAGCAGCCATCGCGCGCTTACAATCCATAAAAAATACAATCAACTGTTCAAAAATACGGGAAAAAACTTTGTTTATCAAAACAGTGGCATCTTCTGAGTTTATTTTTGAAGTTTTGTCAGTTTTCTCAATTTTGTTCAGTATCCCTTTAAAGTCATGGTGCCATTCAGTGCATAAACAGTGATAGTGAGTGGTCTTGTTCTCATATTCATTACTTTTTTATGGGTTAACTTGAAAATTCCCTCTGGCTATGCCTGTGCTTTTGATTAGGGGCATAAAAATATTCGAAATTTCGAGCATTATTTGAATAGGGTTTTGGATTTCATTCGCACTGAAATTTTCACTATTCGAGCTTCCCGAAGACAAATGCAGTGAACGTCTTATTAGGAGCGACCATTTTATATCTTTATTATGCTTCACCTCATTGGTATTTGTGTTGCAGCAAAGCTGCCTTTTAGGCTTTGTTACAGTTGCAAGTGTATTACCTCAAAAAAACCCTGGTTCAAGCATGAAAATAATGCATGTGGCAGAAGTGGGAACTCTATTATTGCCGTTTTGTACTGGAAATTCGGGCAGGAAGACCAAAAAATAGGATGCTGAAGTTTTTTAGCATCCAAAATTTCAAGTGTTCTTGTATGTTGACTCCTATTAAACAGATTTGGAGCTCCTAAAGTGAAGGATGCACTACTTTGTCTGCCACATCAGTCGTGCTTCCACAGAAGTTGAAAGAGGTGGAGAGGCTGAGATAATAGCATTTTTGCCCTTCACACGTGAATTGTTGTCTGCAACACTTTGGTTGTATCAAATCATGTACTAAATACGATTCTTCCAGGGCAATACTTCATTCTCGATAAACGAACAATTAAATACTGCATTGCCAGTATTCATCAACCTAGTGAGAAGAAACGCTTACATGGTGCTATATTTCAAAAGAGTATGCTAAAAAATCTTCTCGCAACATTTTCTTTTTCTGAAATTTCACGTTGAACTGTTTGAGAAGTGTTGTTGAAATATTCTGAGAATATTGAACTTATTCGATTTGCACTCGCACTTCGATATTAGAATTTGGTTCACATTCTAAATTTTGCTATTGCCACAGCTCTACTTTTGATGCTTGCCAGACTTATGCTTTCAGAAAGTCAATGGTGCAATGTGGCCATCTGTATGACCGGGCTGGTCTGCTGTAGTCGCTTTTGCTGCTACAATAACTAAACTGTGCCAAATATTCAGTCAGCCTTTCTAGTTTCGCAAATGTTTAGAGTTAGAAGCTAGTGCACGAGCTGTTACATTGTGCGGCTGCCTTTTTATTAATTGTAAACAAGATTTACATATACATCTGGCACCACTTTTTGACCAGAACCTATGTAATCACCTTGAAGCAAACATAGCTGTGAACGCTGTTCTAGATTTTAGCTAGGAGCATATTGGCTAATGTCTAAAATTTGTGCGCCATAACAGTATTGTGTACACTTATTCTCTCTTGATGGGCAGAGTCCTTGTTGTTGGACATAAATTGTTTTGCTAGTTTAAAACTATGAATAGTCAGTATGTCTCTGTTCAAACTGCGGAGCGCTTCAGGTGAGCATATTCAGTGCCTGTACATCTACATTTCGTGGTGCACATATGCTAGGTAAATCTCTTAATGCACGAATTTGGACCAGATGGATTGGCTCACAGCTTTGACACTCAGAACTCTGAACAACAAACTGGCCTATCGATTATGGTCATTACGAAAGCTTCCATAAAAATGTCGTTTAGGAAGTACAAGTAAGTGCTCCCACATCCTTACACCCAGTAATTAGTTCATTCCAATTGGACTTCACTCTAATGCACTGAAATTATTTGTTTATTTGATTCATGCAATGTAACATGCCCGCTTCAATTCACTAAAGCAGCCAAAACTGCCAGACTACCCAGACTCTCAGCCGTCCATGCCTGGTAATTTCTATGCCTCGCTCACTTGAGGCTCTCCCATCATATTCTTACTGCATTGAGTAGTTACGCAATGCGGCCTGCCTCCTCTCTGTTTGTAGGGCTCGCAGAAGTTACAGGCAACCAGTCTCAGCCGTCCATGTCGAGGATTTCTATGCCTGGTAAGTTCTATGCTTTGCTCGCAATCTGACTTGCATCCTCTCTTTATACAGTTCCTTCAAAACTACCAGACTCTCCTGAGCCACATCCATCACGCCCAAAGGCTTCTACTTCCATGGATTGTGAGTTTCATATCATACTTGCTTGTCTTCATATAGTATTTCTTGTGAATCTTTTCTTGCTTGAGTAAATGCAAAATATGATCTATTGGTTCTCTCCTTGTAGTGCTATCCGAGGCATCTACGTCATTTGGAATAGCCTCCCTAGAACCTAAAGGACATCAATTTGTGGGCACCACACCCATACAGAGTAAGTTTCCGCTTTCTGTGCAGAGGCAGACTAGTGATAATAATAAATATGGTAATTTTTTGCATTTGCATTACATTGCTTTCGCCATCCATTTTCCAGGCACATCAAGAAAGGCCAGGATCAGAATCCCGAAAATGCGGGACCCACGTACAAAGCAGAAGCTACAGCACTACTGCAGCATAGTCATGAGGCTTCGTCGAGTAATCTCCAGAATAAAAAGGCCTGTGAACCGTACTCTCCCGCATGCACAGCTCATTGCTGAAGCTGGAAATTACCTCAGCAAGGGCTTCTTAGAGCTACTAAATGTACAAGTGCTTTTGAACCCCTCAGAAAACATGGGAGCCGTTGGCCCATGCTATTTAGTAAGCTTGCACTAAATCTCTCCTTTCCAAGTCTGAAGGCATATAAATATGTTTTCAAATTTTTTAGCCTTCCAAATGTGAGAACGCTGAGGACTTTGATATCTGCCGTTACCATTAAATCTAATTAGCTGCATGCTACCCTTGATCTAATCAACAAACCGAAAAACTGACCGTTAATCGGAACGAGCTTGTTGCTTGGTGTTCAATGAAATTTCATTGAAAAGAAACTTTCAGTACGACCCTACAGAAGATGTTATTCACGGGTATGTTGATAATGAAGAAGATAGGACGGGCAGTGTAGCGAATACTACTATGCTCGCGGTGGCACTAGGAAAAGCCAAAAAATGGGTCCTAGTAGTAGCCTTTTTAACAAGGGATGGCACAGTTCATTCATGACCCGTTCTTTTCTTGCTCGAGCAGCTATTCAGCAACCTAAAATTATGCAAGCTCTCTGTAAAAGCAATAATATGTGACCAAGGGGGAGCAATTGTGCGGTAGCAAAAACACTTTGCGCAAGTCCTGATAGGCCATTTTTAATGCATATATCTTGTGTAAAGCTGCAAGGGATATAACTTGCACAAATATGACCTTAAAATCGGTGAATCTGTTGTATCTTGGAAGCTCATAAGAAATTTATACGAGTCTAGCCATCATATGAAGCTGAAGTATGTCTCAAGGTTGACTGATGAACATATATACAAGAGCCGGTTTTGGAATATGGTAGTGTTGTTCGCTGCACAGGTTTTAAGCAACAGCGCTTATTTCGCCATCAAAGCTTTTGTAGCCTCCACAGTTCTTCCGCCAGAAGCCATGAAAACAGCTAAATTTCTCGAAAGAATAGTTCAGCCATTCGACTCGTTGAATAGCTTGTGTGTCCAAATCGAAGAAAGGAAGATGAAGCATTCTATCAGTGAACGAACAGAGCATATAAATTTGTCTGGAGATGAACCAGTTGATGTACTTGCGCCAAATATATTTTGTTATGTGTCAGGTTATTTGGTACACACTTTCCTAAAGAAAAAGGCTTGTGAGAAGTGTACAGTACTGCTGAAGGATAGCAGCCAAGAGTTGTCTTCAGATTGTCAGGTATACGTGATACTGTGGAGATAGAGGGCAAGCCACGAGGACATATCACTGTGCCAACTGAGGCAGCGCTCTCTTTTGTTCATAAACTGGAAGCCTTATTCAATGCACTAATCGGTGCTGTTGCACACCTTGTAGGAGTATCTTGCACACTTCTTGACACTGGAGATCCCCGAAGGGCCATTCTGCAGGGGAGACTGCCATAAATTGTTCCTGAAAAAAATATGTACGAATCAGGATACTCTGGTTTCAGAATTTCAAGTACAGAGAGTTAAGCAAAGCCACAGTCCCTTAATACTGTTCTGGTCACGAAACTTCTCCGTCACTCTATGGGAGAGCTTGATATGGTGCCAAGAGCGGCCGCTACGCGGCGCAAGCTGTCCTAAAGGGGCCATCGCCCCGCTGCGCCCGGCGGGGCGCACTGGCCGCGGCGGCATCCCGAAGGCGTTGTGTGGTGGCAGCTCGCGGTTTCTGCATCAGCGAAACGCGAACTTCATGTGCCAGTGCACCGTGCTCAAGGTGGATGGCATGAAAATTCGAATGAACAATGCCTAAAACGTGCTGTGTGACGGGTTGCAGCTCCGGATGCCGAAGCAACAAAGAAAAGGCGTCGCTCTTCTGTTTCCCAAGTAGCGCCGAACTCCGAGAGAAATGGAAGCGAGCTATACCGCGGTTGGAAGCTGGCGGTTTCAGCTTCGAAAGTAAGAACGTTCGGGTGTGCGAGAAGCATTTTAATGCTAGCGACGTTGTGAGAACCGACGAGCACATCGTGAACGGGGTGGTCGTGTCGCTTCAGCGAGAGAGACCGAGGCTTCGCACGAACGCCGTTCCAAGAATTTTTGACGGGCTTTCTGACAGAATTTTTGACTTTCTCCCCATTACATGCACCATATGTGAATCTCCCATTCATAAGTACACACCTGACTACTAGGCGGCGTATCATTAGCACCAAATTTAAGATTTATTGCATGCCTTAAATCATAACCGCCCTTCCCCCCCCCCTCCCACCCAAAAAATAAAAACAAATGTGTGATGAGGTACCTCTGTAGTGGCAGAGGCGGCCAAGCGGCTAGCACTGGCATCAAAAGGAACTTCCAGATTAGGCTGCTGTACTTCCGTTTCCGGAGAAATCATGGGTTGTCGGCCGGTTAATAATAATGCCCTAAACAGTAAACACAAGTAAACGTCAAGCGGCGGGTGTCCCGTGTAAACTGCGTGGAAAGAAGTGATCAATCAAATGTTGGGCACGTTTAGAGCGGTCGCGAAAGCCCTCGGCATCGAAAGTCCCCGCGTCAAAAAAGCGATCGGCGTTCACAAACGTGTGTCCAATACAACTGCGCATTTGGGTATAAACTCAATTGAAAGGTCTGGAATAAAACTTCTGGCTCAACCATTCAGTTCATTTGAATACTTGGGTAGTAGCGCGCGAGAGGCGAGCCGGATATAAACCAATGTGATTGCTCCTGTACTACCAAGTCGTGTTTCATTTCGTTCTCCTTCCTCCCCCTATTAGCGGCCCTACCAGAATATACAGCTCACCTATCGCATAAACATAATCGCCCTTTGGCCGGGCGCAAATACAAACATGTTGTCGAGCAGATCAAGCAGTAGCTGCTCGCATCAAGAGCATGGATCATAAGCATCGTCTTTCAACACTTGCGAGCTATAGCTCGCAAGTACCGCTTCGAGGCATCGTAAGTGTGCATATAATTGGGCTATGAGACAATTATTGACACAATGCATTATCGCGCGGTGTGAGAACACTTTTAATGCGCTGCTGTTTATAAGGTGGGCCCGCACTTCCAAGTAAACTACGCGTGCGTTCCAAAGTAAACAGCTCTCATTCGTCGTCGACACTGGATCCCGTTTCAACTTATTTATCTGGTGGCATTGATGCGTTCAGAGACGTTTGAAAAAAGGTAACAGGAAGAACAGCACGCACATAATCGCGTCGAAACGTCGGCCGCAGTGCGCATACAAGCCCCAGCAGTGGCGGCGGCTTGTGGCCCCCATACGACGGGTGGCGCCTCTAGCGACAGATTTTGTCCCTATATCAACCTTCAGGCGGAGTTTCGTGACCAGAAAAGCATTGAAGGACTCTGGCAAAGCTAAGGCATTGAAATCAGCTGCGAAAAGAAAACTTCAAAAACTAGTGTGACAGCCATTGGTGGAAACTGAAATGTCCTGCCCAATTCTAGTGCGTTTGAAGTAGGCGGCTTCGTCGTGTTTCAGATTAGGCGGGTTTTTTTCTTTAGCAATATCTGATCTTACGTTATGCTTGCATTTCGTTCGGGTTCTTATGTGCCTCAGTAGTCCCAATATATAATGCACCTATAGTATCACACAAATAATGTTGTTTTACCCATTGCTGGTGTTGGGAGGTGCACTACCTTCACAGTCGGTTCTCCCTTCTTTTTGTGAGCTTCTAATGCATTCTTCTTCACTACAGTATAGTCTGGATGCAGAGTCGACCTTTTTAGAGATCTAAGACTACCAAGATTGCCAGAATGAAAAGCTTACAAAATCTGAAGGCGTTCAGGTGAGCATACCAAAATGTATCCCATTTTTTTCTTTCTAAGGGGATGGCTGCATGTGTCGTGTGACCATGAAAAACGCAGGTTGTATTTTGGAAAGATGAGTAGTTGCCTAAAGTGCATAGTTTAAAGGTGAAAAGAATTTTCCTATATGTCCCAAATAGAGCTATACTTTCCAAAGGAGCACTCGTCTCTAGTCATTTAAATTGTGCTATATGACTAATATTTGCTCTGCTGACTGTGGTGGAGTTAATAAGCATGTTTCGATGAAATTAGATTCTCCATTGCAAAAATGCATGAAAAGGAGGGGTATGCCACCTGGACAATTGACAATAAGAATGCATCACTTTGTAGAATCAGGAAATCTATAAATGCACTCACAGTTAATTAAGGTCCATTCGGAAAACGATCAAAAACTGTGGTATGGTTAATATCTCAAATTTTCCTCATGCGTTTTTTTATAGTATGCCCATATGATCGAACAGCTCGAAATCGCATTTTGTTTTCAAACAAACAATTTTGCCAACATAGGAAACATCGAGAAGCATCGCCGGCTGATGATGGACATTTTACGAAAAGTGCTTATGCTAACAGCAATGCAAGCTATATATTGCAAATATCTTATTTCTTAGCACAATTAGAAAGGCAGGTCGCACGCATTAGGAAAGCTGACTGATTAGTATCTAAGATACAAATTTTTTGTTCTATCTGAACGACGGGAAGAAAAGGAGGACATTTCTGGAGGGGCTTTCTTTGGGCTGAGTGGTAGCGAACGCCAGCCAAGTCGCGAACTACTCAAGTGCATTTCATTAAAGGGGTAGCTTTTCTTAAGAAACACTTTGTACTCTTCGTAAATACCTCTCTACAGTTATTTTGCAAAATCAGAGCAAAAAAAAGTGCGTTACTGTAACTTCTTTTCAAAAAATGATGTGATTTACATTATGCGTTCTGAAAACACAATGTTTGAAAATTTGTAAGTTAGTTTTGACCAAAATGATTACCATGCTTTTCCAGAATATGATTGCGCTGTTTAAAAAACATTGAGCAAAATTGAGAGCAGGTTTTTTTTTCACTCCTTTGAAAATCACTAGCAAATGAAAATGCAGAGTATAATTACCCTGATTAGGTACTATAAGCACTGTAAACATGATCTAGCTATGTAAATCACAAAAGCAGAAATCGCACCCAAAAAATGAGTGAGTTTCATAAACATGGTGTTTTGAGAATTTTTAAAAATACTTAGATTATCTAGAATTTTGAATGATCACGTGAGCTTTTTCTTCATTACTTCTAATTGTACTAAGTAAGAAGATATTTGTGATATACAGCTTGCATCACTGTTAGCATGTTCATGCATTCAGGAAAGTGCACTTTTGGTAAGATGGCCGTTGTCACCTGGCAATTATTCTCATCTTGCCTTGGTTTAAAAAAGTGTTTATTTGAAAACTAAATGTTATTTTGAGTGACTGCATCGTGTGGGTATAATATAAGAAAAAAATAAAAATCTGAGATATCAAGTATACCATGTTTTTCTATCTTTCATAGAATCGACCTTATCTGTTCACTTTGCAAAGTGAGGCCAACTTGGTATGGGTGCTGCTTTTTTTACACTTGCTTTGTGCTGCGACAATGCTGGTGTCAGTGCGTGCACTAACACCAGTAATTGCAGTTATTTAGAGCAAACAACTTCTTAATTGTACTTAACCAGGTGCGATTCCTGCACAGTCTGTACAAATCTGAAGCTTATTTCACTGACACACCACTTAACTGAGGTCTGTGGCGCAATTTGAGGTTAAAATGTACAATAAAATGACATATCCCATGTCTTGGTATCCATTCCATAGCTCCAGCTGATCTTTGTTTGGTCAGGCATGTATATTGTTCCTCTTCAGTTGGGGAAAAGGCACGTTCATTGCATTGACCCCTTCCACCTCAATGCATGGGGCAGACGTTGCACTGACTTAGGTGACTAGGACTTCTATAAGAGCTCTGGCTTTGATTTTTAGTAAAAATTAGACGCCACCTCTACTATAACTCAAATAAGTTGCCCTGCTTATTGCCCTTCTTACCCTTTGCTGCATGCATTTTGGTTCATCCCACTTTGGTGCTTCCTTTCTTTATCTCTTGAGGTGCAGTACTTTCATCTATTTATTGTCTTCGGTGATTTGAAAAAGCTTACCTATTTTTCACCTTAGTGCTATACTTCTAAACTGCTTCAATAGCGTCAGAAATTTTGCACCTGTCCGTGTTGCGTGCTTTGTCTTTATATAGCTTAGCACGTTGTTTGCTCCTTCAATGTGAAGAACACACTTGCCAGCAACAAGTTTTTATTGCATGACTGTTTCGCTAACTTTTTTCATAGTCATTTTTTTATGTATCCTATTTGTTCTTAATGCCACTCCTGCATCCCCATTTTTATGCGGACTGCATAAAGGGTGGCCGGTTTTCTTTCTTTCATTTTTTCTTCAGGTTGAGTGCAGTGTTCGAGCTCTCTCTGAGCCTGTGCACACTACTTTCATAGTCGGCATCATTCCGGGGTTCCCTCATAACACAAGTCTATCTGACATTTTATTGGTTCACTAAGGCTTTTTCTTGTCCTCCTTGCTGTTACCATGCTTTCTGAAGGCGTTTGTTACGTAGCGTAAATTACTTTTTCTCAAGATTTCACTTTACCTATCC